TCAGTTTAACATACATATGGTAAAACTTTCTAAAAAAAACTATCTACAGATGAAATGGGTACTTCATGAAGTAGTAGGTTTCCTATTACAAGGAGACAGATTTTGATTCAGTATAAGGAAGAATTTTCCAGCTATCAGAGAATATCCCACCTTCTGCTGGAAGCCTTTCCTGGTATGTCCTTCTTCATCCCCATAGGTGCTAGTGCCTTCCCCTCTGAGACTGCCTTCCATCCACTCCATATTTATCTTGCATACCAAATTACTCATATGTGGTCTCCCCCATTAGAACATGCGCGTCTTAAGGGCAAGGACTGTTCTTGTCTTTGTATCCCCAGCACTTAAAACAATGTCTGATACATAATAAGTGCTTAATAAATGCTTTTGTTTGTTTAAGTGTTGGCTATGTGCTGAGCACTGGGAATACATATACAAGCAGAAAGAAAAACAGTCCCTACCCTCAACAGGCTTACATTCTAATGGAGGAAGACAGCAAACAAAAAGGAGCTGAAAAGGAGGGGAGGGGATGTTTTTGAGGTCCAAACGAAGTCTGGAAGTGGGCAGCAATGATTTGTGGATCGTTTTTCAAGGAAATTATAAAGAGAATTAATTCATTGAGTAAGAAGTTGGACTAGATTGCTTCCAAGGATTCTTCCAGTTCTACGGTCCTGTGAATATACATAGCATCATATAGTTCAAATTCGGATTGTTGTATTTTTTTTTACATGGCAGTAATAAAGTCAGTTCATGTTGACTTGTTATTCATAGTTTGTTATTAAGAAAGACCACGACTTTTTAAAATTAAGTGGAACATTTCTCATAAGGGGTTTATAGTCTTAACACAGATTCTTCTAACCTCCACTCCAGCCACTACCACTATCACCCCACCCTGTCCTGCTATCAGTCACAGACCTTTAAGTCAACCGTAGATGAACATTATATATAAAGTCTTGGTGCTGAAAGAGATTAGAGAACATCTAGTTCAGTTCACAGACTGTAAGCTAAGAATGGTTTTTACCTTTTAAAATGAGATACAGCATAAATACCTTATAAAGTATAAATAAAGTATTTTGAAATGTAAAAAGTATTGGTGGGGAGCCAGATTGGCCCAGGGCTGTAGTTTGCTGACTTCTGATCTGGTCTGATCCTCTTTTTCTAATGAAGAAGCTGAGGCCCAGCGAGATGAACTTATTTGCCTAAGGTCACAGTTAGTGGCAAAAGAGATGAACAGACAAAAATCCAGGTCACTTTATAGATCTGCTGTTCTTTTCATTACATGATGGTACTTCCTTTAAATTGTTCCTCATGAGGAAAATATGAGGGACCCATGATCTGTTGTGAAGCTTAATTAAACTTTATACCAAGTTATTCCCCATGATACTTTGAAGGTATTTATCAATGAATGTGGTGGGAGTAAATCTTAATGAAGCAGTTAAGAAGCTGGTGTCCTATATTTGGAGGAGAAGGTTAGGGATTGGTTTGTTTCTTTCCCACTGCCCAGGAATATTAGACAGACTTGTTTTCCCTTCCATTATTACTTCATTTCTCCTGTGTTGATGCCTGTCTTCATTGAAGCTCCTTTTGTTGAAGCGCAGCTGTTGCTCAGGTCACTTTTCTTATTCTGGCCACTGTCACAGGAAAACAATTAACTGTGGCAAGTTCTTATTCCCAGGAAGTGCCCGCTGGGATTTTTTGTTTCATTTAACTCATATTTTTCTTATTTCACTCCCTCAGTATCCTTTGAAGACATTTAAGATCCTAAAGGGACACTTGTTTCTTCTTCTCATGTCTTAGAATGTTAGTACCATATCATCACATAATTCCTACCAATTTCTCAAATACATTGACTTTTCCAGGTTTCTCCTGACTCTGGTGTTTTCATTTCAAAGTTCTCTGGTCATTTTATCAAAATTACTTGAAAGTCCTCTATTCAATTAAAGATAATTTTTTTTTTCTGTAAGGTTATACTCTACATTGTGCAGGGTAAGTTATTCTTGTTTGTAAGCCTATATCATTTGCCTTTGGAATATTGTATTCCTAGATCTCCATTCATTTTTAGTAGAAGCTTACAATTCTTATGTGTTCCTAATTACGATCCCTTGGTGTTTGAAATGCTTTTTTCTGGATGCTGGCAATTTTTTTTTTCCTTTCATGTGGGAGCCTCTGGATTTTGACTGACTTCCCTGGGACTTTTCCTTTTAGAGTTCCTTTCAGATGGTGATTGGTGGAATTTTTCTATCTCTACTTTTTCCTCATATTTTACTCTATCTGAAATGTTTTCATTTATGATCTTGAAAGAAAAGGTTCTGGGAGCAGTTAGATGGCGCGGTGGATAGAGCACTGGCCCTGGAGTCTGGAGGACCTTAGTTCAAATCGGCCTCGGACACTGGACACTTCCTAGCTGTGTGATCCAGAGCAAGTCACTTCCCTGATTGCCTCACCCAAAAAAAAAAAAAGAAAAAAAGAAAAAAGAAAGAAAAGAGAAAAAAAAAAAAGAAAGAAAAGATTCTGTCCCAGGGAGTCATTAGATTTGTTTGGTCTATTCTGGTTATTAGGGAGTCCATTACTGGATTAGGTTTACCATTTTCTCTTTTAAGCTCTTTATTATCTTTCCAGTTCTTCCCTCATTTTTTATCTCTTGCTCCATTTCTTTTAAGTATTTGTGTAATCCTTATAGAGGGGCAGCTAGGTGGCACAGTAGATAGAGTGCTGGGCCTGGAGTCAGAAAGACTTATCTCCTCAGGTTCAAATCTGTCTTCAGACACTTAGCAGCTGTGTGACCCTGGACAAGTTACTTAACCCTATTTGCCTCAGGTCTTCATCTGTAATAAAATGAGCTGGAGAAGGAAATGGCAAACCGCTCTAGTACCTTTGCCAAGAAAACCCCAAATGGAGTCACAAAGAGTGGGACATGACCAAAACAATTGAACAATGAAAATCCATTTTTCCTTTAGTCTCTGTTTTCAGTTGTTATAGTTACTCTTGTGGGGGATTTTTAAATTTGCACTAGTTTTTGACACTGTTGAGTGTTTTCTTTGATTTAATGATCTCTCCAACTTTAGTTCATAAATTGAGGCTTTGTGCCCAAACCAGACTCCACCCCCTGCTGTGTTACAGGATAGGGTTCTTAAAGGCTGTCCCCATTCTAGTCCATCTTCCACTTAGCTACCAAAGTGACCTTCCTAAAGTTTAGATCTGACCATATCACACCTACTCAATAAACTCCAGTGACTCCCTATTACCTTCGGTATAATTGGCATTTAAAGCCCTTCACAATGTGACCTTTTTCTTCCTTTGCAGTCTTACATTTTACTCTTCTACCTGCTCTACAATTCAGCTACATTGGCCTTCTAGCCGTTCCTGCCAAACAGAAATCAATCTCCCAACTCCATGGCTTTTCACTGGCTATACTGCATTCCTAGAATGCTCTTCCTCCTCGCTTGTCCTTCCCATCTTCTCTGGTTTCCTTCAATACTCACCCACCTTTGGCAAGGGGCCTTTCCTGGTCCCTTCTCAAACCTTGTGAGATTAGCTTTCATCTACTCTATATCTTGTACATATTTAGTTGTTTGCATATTATCTCCATATTGAAGTGTGCACTTTCTTTGAGGGGAGTGACTATGTTTTTATCTTTCCTTGTATCCCTAGCACTTAGCAGATTGTCTGGTAAATCGTAAGTGCTTAATAAATGTTTATTGACTGACTGATTTCAGTTAATCTACTAAATTTATGAGATTTTTCCCTTGGCTCTATTCTTTTTTTTTTCCACATGATTTTTATACCTGGTAGACAATTGCTTATTGCTTTGTAGCTTAATTGAGATGAAGAAGTTAGATAATAAAAGGAAGAGATGATTAAGTATCATTCACTTTTTCACTTGCTGTGGGTAACATATTGCAGCTTGGATCCCTTGGGTTCATCTGTGTCATCGGCGTCAAGTTACCCACATAAAAATAATTTATTATAGTTTTGGCAATAAAATATCTGCTGGGATGAAAACAAGGTAAGTGAATTACTTAAGTAAATAAGTAACATATTTACTTAATTGGCGTTTCCTTGTCATTATATCATGGATTATTAGAGCTGAAAGAGACTTTATAACAAAATCATCTAAGACTATAGAACATAGAAAAAAATTTAGAGGAATCTGAATTTTATAAATAAGGAAGCCCAGAGAGCTATGGGAAATGACTTGCCCATGGCTATTTAGCAGGTAATTAATGGTAAAGCTAAAATTAGAAACTATATCTTCTATATTATATCCCTTCACTGATTCTCTAGGTCAACTTTTGATTATCCATGTTCATGTTGAGGCACAAAAATACAAATGGTTCAGTACAAAATAATTCAAAATTCAAAGGTAATTTAATCCAAGTGGTCCTTTTAAGGTAGAAGATTCCAGGGAAGTTGTAAAAATTTAGCCTACCAGTGATCAGAGAGAAGCAGTTACTTAACTGCCAATCCCTGTTGAGTTCTTTCCTTGTTTTTGTTCTTTCATTTCATCCTAAGGATGTGACCTAGTCTGTAAGAAAATATTATATGAAATTAATAATGAACCATAGAGATGCAAAAGGGTAGATCTGTATGTCTGGCATCATCTAAGTTTAAGAAGAACTAACCTCACATATGAGATAAAGAAGCCAAAAAGTAAGACAAAAGACAAATTGCAGCAACAGTCTAATGAACATGAATCTTTGGACTTGAGAAAATGGTATCAATTATTTAGGTAACAATGTGAATTATTAATCTTTGGTACATGAGAAGAGGAATAATTAAGATTTTTAGTTTTGGAATAAGTTGTTTAGAAACTCCATGTCTAGAAAATCTATTTTATTAAATAGATATAAAAGTTCTTTGATTAAAAGGAGTTATTTTATTTTTTGTAGTAACATGGTTTTAATACTCTTTAACAATAAGGGCATTAACCTAAATCGTAACTGAATTTTCCAAGTAACAGCGTGACAGTAATTTTATCTCCTATGTTTTCTTTTTGGTCATTTTAGAGGTGTGTTTGATGCTTCCCTGAAAATGGCTGGGTTCTATGGATTGTATACATGGTTGACTCACACTGTATTTGGAATCAATATTGTCTTCATCCCATCAGGTAACCATCATACCATAAACTCAGTTGTGTTCTTTTTAAAGATATTAAGAGCATTTTATAGAAAATTGACATTTTGGTTAGGGGCATGTGTTATTCCCCAGATTTGGAGTATTACTTTTTCTAATTCTGTCTCAGAAATCTTTGGAGAGTTAGACTTGGTGTATGGTTTGCCATATATTTTAAAACTGTTGTGGTGATTATCTAACGGCAGACATTTTAGTAGCCTTGTGATTATGTCCTACAGAATGTTGTTATTATTATTGCTATTTTCTGGGGGCCGAGATTCGTTATTCCTCTACTGCTACTTGAGCTATCTACACATCTTATCTGAGTTCCAGGTAATTCCTGGGATCATCTAGTACCCTCTTTATAATTGAATTCCTTTCGAGTTCATTCTGTGTGTTACAAAGTTAGAGATGATCTGGCTCAGGCCCCTCATTTTTATAGATGAGGGTACTGAGACTTAGAAGGATGAAGTAACTGTCAAAGGTCACACAGCCTGATAGTGGAAGAACTGAGACCACAACCTTGTTCTTTTGATTTCCCAGTTGAGTTTCTGTCCATTATACCATATTACCCTCACCAGTTTTTTCCTCAGTGTAGAATGGCTTCAATTCTCAAAGATTTTTTTTCTTTTCTATAGACATTTGTCATCCTAAAGGGACCTTACCTAGAGCTACCTTTCACTAATACCTTCTTTCTCCATTCATCCATGCTCTGCAGTGTTTGTGACCCTAACCTCACCCTATTTTAACCAAATGGCACATAGAACTAAGAACTCAACTGCCTCATGAGTCAGTTCCTTCTATTTCCAGACTGCCCTAATGGTTAGGAAATTCTTTTATTAAACCAGAATCTTCCTCTTCCTAACTTCCATTCATTGATTCTGATTATTCCCTCAGAAGCCACATGGTTCAGGGACTCTCTTCTTGAAAACAGTTTTCATGTCTAACTCCCAAGTGTTCTCTTCTGTGTGCTGAACATTCCCTTTTCCTGTGACATGGTTTCAAGTTTTCTCATTATCCTGCTCTGTCTGATCTTTGCCTTCTAACCCTGTAAGAGAGATCCTGACCTAGAAACCTTTTGTTTGGGGCTACCGTTTGGATTCCATTTTATTGTATAGATACAAAAGTTCTTTGTAATTTAAAGGGGTTATTAATTTTATTTTTCATAGTAATCTGATTTTAATACTCTTTACCATTAGTTCAAATCTGGCTTCAGACACTCAACACTTACTAGCTGTGTGACCCTGGGCAAGTCATTTAACCGTATTGCCTAGCCCCCCCCCAAAAAAAACTACTCTTTAACGATAGGGGCATTACCTTAAATTATAATCATATTATGCTAAAAAAGAAATGTTCTTATTCTATGATAAATGTTTAGGAATATTACCATTTCTAGAAATAATTTCCATTACTGAAATAGTAAAAATAGTAAAGATTATGTTCAGAAACACAAAAAAGTACCTGGAGCAGAAATCAAAGGTCACCCTAAGATTATAAACATGAAAAAATAGGTTTAAATCAGGGGATTTTATATAATAGCCTTTTGACAGTCTGGTAAAGCCTGTGTACTGCTTCTGAGTATAATATTTTTAAATGCATGAAACACATAGAACTATATTGAAGTAGTTAAATGGCTCTGTGGATAGAGTATTGGAAGACCAGAGTTCACATCCAGCTTCAGATATTTACTAACTTTGTGACCCTGGACAAGTCCCTTAATCTCTGTTTGCCTTGGAAGCAACTAGGTAGCTCAGTGGGTAGAGCACTGGGCCTGGAGTCAGGAAGACCTGAGTTCAAATCTGGTCTCAGACACTCACTAGTTGCATGACCCTGGTCAAGTCACTTAACCTCTGTTTGCCTAATCCACTGGAGAAGAAAATGGCAAACCATTCCAATATCTTTGCCAGGAGAATTCTGTATGGGATCACGAAGAACTGGACACAACTGAACAACTGAAAAACAATATTGAAGTAGTCTTCAGAATACTTTTTTACAAACAGGTTCATGACTTCAAGGTTTAGAAAGAAAAGAAGCTTAAAGTCTCTAGACATGTTGCGCTTGAGGTATTGGTAGGATATCTAGGTCCAGTTAATCTGAAAGCAGCTAGAAATGTTGACCTGAGGCTCATAAAGAGAGGTCAGGGCTGGAAGGATAGATTTAATATGTAGAAGTAGAAAAGGACCAAAGACAGACCCTTGGGGAACATCCACATCTAGAGATCAGAAAATGGACAAAGACCCCAAAGAAAAGATTAGAGAAGTAGAAGAATCAGTCGATAAGCATTTATTAAGTACTCACTATGTGCTAAGTGTTAGGGATATAAAGATGAAAATAAAACATTCTTCATACCAAGGAACTTAGATTCTACTAAGGAAAATAATCTGTATACATATAATTAAATATAAAGTAAGTTGGGGGTGGGGGGGCAAGTGGGGCATTAGCAGCAAAGGGAACCAAGAAGAGCCTCATGTAGGAGGGGGCACTTGAACTGAGCTTTGAAGGACGCTAGGTATTTTAGGATATGAAAGGAAAGAGTACTGTCCAGACATGAAGGGCAGACTACAAATACATGGGGACATGATACAGCATGTCGTGTGTCAAGTAGGCCAATTTGACCCAAATAGGGTGTGACGGGGAGAAATGTGCAATATTCCTAGAAAAGCCGGAGTCAGATTACAAAAGGCTTACTTTTTTTAAAAAATAAGTTTTTATTGATATCTTTTTTTGACATCACCATAGTTTCCTTCAGTACTCCTCCCTCTTGCCCTCCCAGAGAGCCATCCCTTATTTCAAATAGTATTTTTTAAAAGACAAAAAGAAAAAAAATAAAATAAAAGACAAAAAGAAAAAGGGGGGGGGGGAATCAGCAGAACAGCAACGCATTGGGAAAAGTCTGAGAATAAATACAATGTACAACATTTGGGGACCTCCCAGCTCTACAGAGGGTTAGGGTGGGAATGTCTTCTCAAATCTCTTCTTTAGAGCCAAACTTGTTATTTATAATTTTGCAACATTTATAAAAGGCTTTCATTGCTAAGCAGAGGAGTTTGTATTTTATTCTAGAGATTATAGGGGGCCATTGGAGCTTGTTTGAACATGGGAGTGACATGGCCAAACCTAGGCTTTAGAAATATCACTTCAGTTCAGGAGATTGTATTATAATGGGGAAAGATTTGAGGAAGAGATACCAATTAAGAGGCTGTGGCAGTAGCCTAAGCTAGAGGTGATAAGGGCCTGAACTAGGCTGACAGCCTTGAAAGGAAAGAAAAAGAGACTAATGGCAAGAGAGGTTGTGGATTTGACGAATGAGTGGAGATGTGGCATGAAGGGAGAATTAGGAATCTAGAATGACTCCACAGTTGTGAAATTAGGGAACTAGAAGGATAGTAGTGCTTTTGATATAAATAAAGGTCAGAAGAGACGTGGGTTGGGGGGAGGAAGGCAGATGAGTTTAGTTTGGGGCATATTAAATTTGAAATGCCTATAGGACATCAAATTGGAAATGTCCAGTGGTCAGCTGGTGATGTGAAAGACTAGAGTTCAGGAGAGAGGCTGAGATTATATAAATAGATTTGAGGGTTATCTGGGAGACAGAGCCTTGGGATTACATATGCACATAGGGAGTGGTGGAGCAACCAGATAGGTAGGAAGAGAACCACAGGAGAACCATCTTGAAAACACAAGAAAGAGTATGAGGAGATGAATTGGGAGGAGAGGGTGGTCACTGGGGTCAAGTGCTTCATGCAAAAAAAGTCAAGAAAAATGAAGACTGAGAAGAGGCAACTGATGTCATTGGTCACTTTGGAAAAAGAAGTTTGAGGTGATGAGAGTCATGAAGTCAGAATGTAGATTATAAGGAATTTAGAAAGGAAGTAAGAGGCAGTGAGTGAAGCTGGGTGTTTCTGGTGATTTGGCTGTGAAAAGGAGGGAAAAGAATTATAACATGAGGGGACAGTAGCTTTAAGTAAGAATTTTATAAGGATGGGCTTTTCTGTGTAAGCAACAGTGAAGTTTCCAACAGATAAGGAGAGATTGAAGATTAGAGAGAATAAGAGGTGATAGTTGAGGAAAGGTGGCTACCAAGAGAGGAGCCAGTATGAAGGAAACAGGATCAAGGAGACAGTAACTAGATTCATGGAACCAAACATTTCAAAAACAAAGGTAGTATCTCCTGCTTGGGACTATGGCAGGTTGAGTAGGAACACTACAGGTTAAATGACACATTGGTGTTTAGTTTTCAGGTGTCAGGTGCTTCATCCTTTGTAGCCCAGGTCGACTTCTTGTCTAGTTCAAGCTTTCTTCATTTCCTGAGTCACCTGTATAACTTCACTCAAGTCACATAATGTCACTGACGTTCCATTTTCTTCTTTGTAGAATGAGAAAGTTGGATTAGATGAGCTGTAAATTCCCTTCCACCTCTAAATCCTGTGAACTTTAAGTTCCAGGTTGGCTTAAAGTTTGCACTATAAAAAACCAGCACATTCCACCTTCCCAGTTTTAGAGTGGTACAGGCAATCTTCAGACTGACACAGGGCCCTGGTTCTGCTCCCTTACATCTCCAGGTAAGGTAGCCCATGGGGATCGCCTTCACGAGGAGATACCTGGAGCTTACCACATTCTGAATATATCTTCATCTTTGTCAGAAACAAGTTTTGGGTCACTTGTGAAAGAACGGTGCCAAATACCTTGTTGGCAGCTTCTAGGCCTGGGAAAGAAACTTGGTCATTAGCAGTTTGGCAAGGAAGGTGTTCCTGCTGCTACTGAAAAGTTGTTATTGGCATTTAATTGATTGGCGCCTCTCCTGTTTGTTACAACTCTCACAAGTGCTTCTCTCATTGGGTTCTTTTAAAAGCCTTTTAAGATAGACATGGCAGAGAATGTTGTCCCCATTTCATAGATGAAGAAACTCAGTCCTGGAGAAGTGATATGACTTGCGTGGCAGGGCTGAGACAAAAACATACTTCAAGTGTTCTTTCCACTTCAGCAGGCTCTGTGTGTGGGAATTCTTCAGTAAACACTATTCCAGTGAACTGGAAGTTCACTGAAGCTTGACTTCAGTTAATCAGTTTAACCTTCACTTATTTTTTAAATACATTAATCCAGTACACTACATACCTTGAACATTCCAATGAATTTGGGTTATTTTACTGTATGTGAATTGGGGGGGGGGTTCTATTGCAGAGAATTAACAGTTTTATTTACTATTTTTCTGTAGTATGAAGTTTATTTTCTTTTGACTTTATTAGCATTAGCAGCAATCCTTGGAGCAGTACCATTTCTGGGAACGTATTGGGCAGCAATACCGGCAGTCCTGGACCTGTGGCTTACTCAGGGAGAAGGATGTAAAGCCGTCTTGCTTCTGGTTTTTCATCTCCTACCAACCTACTTTGTAGATACTGCAATCTACTCTGATATATCAGGGTAAGTATTTCACAAAAGGGAAAGCAGTATTAGTTGTAATTATATCAATGTCTTCACATCTTGATAAAAATTCTTTTTACTCCCTTGTGTTTCTGTTACCATTGTAAAATTTTAATGAAAACTGACTTCATAAAATAGGGCTATTTATGTTACTGAAGAAACATATTTGGTGTATAAATAGACTGCAGTGATACTGAATTATGTGCAAAAGTTGACATAAAAAATAACATTCAGGAATGTATGAGGAATCAACAAGCATTTATTAAATGTCTGTTCTGTGCCAAGGATTGTATTAGACATTGAATTGGAAAGTAAAATGAGCCAGTCATGTGCCAAGAGTGAGAGATAACAGACAGATTGGGTGCTGCAGTTACCCTTGAAATGTGAAGACTTCTTATTTGTTGGGGGAATGCAAGAAAGATTCTTTAAAGGAAGATACAGATGTGAATTGGCCAGGTTGAAAAAATGGGGATGAGTTATAATCTGCACCATTGGAGTGAATTACCCACATCAGTGTGATCACAGATCCATTGAAGAGTTAAAGTAAGAAAGTATATAATTGAGTGTCAGAATAAGTGAAAATTGTCGGCAGACTCATGTTTTAGTAGTATTTTCTATGGAGAAAGAAATATTACCAGGTGTATGCGAGAATGAAGAGTCAATATTTTATTTCAGAACCTTTCCATTAAAATAACTTTTTAAAATCAAATATCCACATCTTTACATAATTTTCCTTGTCCCATCTAATAATTTCAGCTGTTTTGTTGTTGTTTAATTTTGGTCCTGACCTGTGAGGAAGTCCAAACATAGGAATTCCATTGACGCAGATCAGCAACTTAACTTGCAGTTTTAGAGTTGCCCAGGGCAGCAGAGGTTAAATGGCCTGCCCATGTCAAAGAAGCAAGCCACAGGCATTCCCTTACTCCGTGGCTAGCCTTTTATTTGTTACATTACTCTATCTCTTGGTTTCAACATAAATATTTAATTCTGACATGTAGCAATTCCATTTCAGCCCATATTCTCTTATAACATTGTACCTTCTGGGGACAAAGAACTGGATTTCTCTTTTAAAAATATTTTTTTTCTATTCTAAAGTGTTTGTAAATGTTAAAGTTTGGGGATTTTTTTTAAGGCAGAAAACTTTAAAAAGTAGTCTATGTCAGAAGCCTATGATAGTTTATAAATTCTGCTAGAAACCTGCTACAACAAAGAAAACATTTCCTATATTAATTGAGCATTAATCAGAGAGGGAAGGTTGATTAGAACCAATGTAATGTTCAAGGAGAAACATCTCTTTGATTATAAAAAGACCACCACATTGTTTTGCTCTTATCTGGAGACTTACACAGCTTCTTGCCTATGTATGTGCACACACAATAGTAACCCTTCTTACATCCAAGGAAAATGAAACAGAGAAAACCACAGGAAGAATCCTTGTCCCCTAAAATAAAGAACAGAAAAAGATGATTATTTAAGAGTGCTCTAAACTGGTTAGGAAAGCTAAAGAGGCAAATCAATGCCTTGACTTCTCTCCGGTAAGTTGGAAATAGACTAGTAAAGACTCTTGCTGCTAAATTGCTCTAAAGAAAAATCAGAGGAGGAGAATAGGTCACAGATTTGCAGCACACGAGGCCTGGGGAATTTTGATATATTGAGCACAAGCAAAAGAAAGTTAGAGGTTTCTCAAAGTACAAAGAACTAGAATTGTAGTAGTGATTGTTTAACAGGTAAAATATACTGGAAAAGGATATTTCATTTTTACCCTGGCATTATATTTCCTCAAACCTTGCTCTTAATTTTGAATCATATTACTTATAATTAGAAAATAATAAATATTTATTCTGTTATTTTAATAAGATGTTTAAAGGAGGATGGTATTTGACTGGCATCATTGGGGAATGAGGCATTTTATGTGTGAATTTTCTATATAATTGAAATATACTCTTTTGACCTTTCTGTCTCAGAGCACTTGAGCTTTGTAGTGGTCATTTACAGCTTTGAAGACTTTTTCATACTTACCTTGAATTTCATTACTTGATTCTGGATGGTTCAAATTGCCAGAAGTCTGATCATCAAAGAAGTGGGAAGTGGGTTTTTTTGTTTGTTTTTTGGAGAGACTGGGCCTGCAATTTCATATTTGTTTATTTATTTATTCATATTTCAATTGCATAAGAAATTGCAAATGAATAAACTCCCTCTAATAATATATCTGCTCTTCAGCTTACAACCTTGAAGACTTGCCTGGATTGTGGGTCATTATTGTGGCTTTTTCCATTAAAATAACGTAATGGAATTGTGTTATACTGACCTGTTAACCCATGCAACTGTATTCTTCAGACACCACTGTTCCACTGGAAACAATGATCCAAATCATAGAAGTTATGTCCTAGGAGTAAATAATCAGTTTCTCTAATACTGATCTTCCCATTCAAACTTATAAAGTTATAATAAAAATCACAGACCTCATGGACATGAAACTTCTGTAAATTAACCTGATTACAGTCAGCTCTCAAATGCATACATGAATCAGTTATGTCATTGACTTGGAAAATTCTCCAACAATGCATATCACAACTCATCCTTGGTTGTCCCATCCTGTGCCAATCTTGCCCATGTCCTCCTATAAATTCACCATGAGTTCCCCACCCCCCACTCCAATCTTATTTCCTTACTTTCTTCTCAAATTTCAATTAACTGCATTAATTGGGGAAGGAGTGGAGAGATAGTGGTGCTGAGGATTAAACATTTCCTATGCTGTTTTTATAATGAATTCATGATTTAAATTTACTCTTAAAATGTATGCTTTTTATATCATTATTTTTGTAGAATAAGATCACATAGCTTGTTTTCAAATTGTCGTGAATTTTTTGTTGTTTTTTTTTTAATGTTTTCTTAAAAAGTAAATTTATATTGAACAACAGTACAATCAGCTGAACTTGCTTAGTAATTATTGACATTTAAATTAATTTCAGTGCATAAACTATAGTGATTTTTCAGGAATTCCCTGTGTGACCTCCTTAGCATTCTTTCTCATTTACTTTTCCCCTTAGGGTTGTAGATAGTTTTTATTTTACTTTTCTGGTTCATTTTTTTTAGACTACCTTGTATAGATCTTAACAGATTTCCCTGTATATATCATACCTGTTAGTCCTAATTACATTATAGCAGTGGTTTTCAAAAATTTTTTTGTTCAAAGCACAGTATTAATTCCCATAGGGATTTTTTTTCCCTTTCTTTGTATCCCTAGTGATTAGTACACTGCTTGGCATATAGTAGGTGTTTAATATGTACTTATTGACTGATCAACTGACCATAGGAATCACAGCACAATATAAAAGAGTCAAGACATTTAAGTATGTATGAGATTGTAAGTATAAGTTCTACACAATTCCAACACGCTTAGCTAAAACTTAATGTACACCATTTGAGAACCACTGCATTATAATATCTACTGTGTAATGCACTCCATTTGGACTTTTATGTTGCTTCCAGTTTTTGTTTTTACAAATAACATTGCTATGAAAATCTTTTTATAGATAGCTCTTTTGTTTTTTATTACACTTTCAGGGTATATTTCTAGCCATGGAACTATTGTGTCAAAGAGTGTAATTTTTTTTTTAATTTTTTTTTTAATTTTCAGTTCCAAATTCTCTCCCTCTCTTTATCCCCTCCCCCACTCATTGAGAAGTCAAGAAATATGATACCCATTATACATGCAAAACATATTTCCACATTAGCCATTTCAAAAAAAAATATGATTAATTTTGTAACTTGTACTATGTATTGTCAGATTTCTCTCCAGAAAGATATTTAAAATGTAGAGTTAGACCAACAATAGATAAATGTACCTGTTCCTCCTCAGCCTTGCTAGCATTGCATTTAGTTACTTTTAATCATGTTTGCTCATTTGATGAGTGATGTGATGCCTCAAAGTAGTTTTCATTTACATCGCTGTTTATTAGGAAAGTTGTGTTTTTTGGGGGTTTTTTTTTGAGTGATTATCAGGATGGTCTGTTTCCTGTTTAAAAAATTCTTTTCATATGCTTTGGCCATTTATTTGACTAGAAATTGCCATTTTGACTTTTTAACAGTTCCTTAGTTTTTAGATGTCAAGTTTTTAAAAGCCATGTTTGCCCAACTGATATATCCTTTCACATGTAATCTGTTTATGTTATTATTCCAGAGGAGGCCATCCTTACTTGACGGGTTTAGCAGTGGCTGGTGGAGCATACTACCTAGGCCTAGAAGGAGCGATCATTGGCCCTATACTTCTCTGCATACTCGTAGTTGCCTCTAATATCTACAGTGCCATGTTACTAAGTCCTACAAACCCCACGCCCACCCCAAGTCAGACACTGGGTCCTCAACAGACACAACAGTAAGTTGAGGTAGAGAAATATCTCTAAACTGAGTGCTAATATTGAAATATAACTGATGTTTTTGCTCTTTTCCATGAGATTTGATTTAGTCAGTCGAACAGCAGATAAAATACTTGAGTGTCTATACTGTATTCAGAGCTGTAGAGAATGTGAAAAAAAAAAATATGTAGCCTAGCCCTGCTTTTGAGAAATTTATAGTCTTGTTCGTCTTGTTCAGTTGAAGCCAAACAACAAATCTGTTGTGAGGCTGTTTTAAAATCCTCTTAAATTTATGTTCTGTTTGTGCATCCTTCATTAAATTATTGAGTGTAGAGATCCCCTGTGAGTTAGAGTTTTAGAGCTGGGTCTACATTAAACTCATAGTTTATAGGCTAAAGGAAAAGAGAAATGAAGTTTTTGTAAAAAGAATAAAAGGAGAGAGAGGTATTCAGGTACAAAAAGCTTTTTTTTAATTCACACCTGGCCCTTTTGTTGCTTTTGCCTCTTGATAACGATAATAAAATGAAATGTGGCTATTCCTTATTTAATAAAATAAAAAGGCACTGCCTTTTTTCCCTTGGTCAAAAAAAGTGAGATCCCAAAAGCACATCTAACACAACATTATCTAAGTTGTAGGTTGAAATTAAAATAATTTTACAAAAGATTTTGACCAGCTTACCCATGTAACCTAACCAGAGAGTTAAAAATTCATTAATTCTGCTATCTAGTTAGGTCCTTGCTTCTCAGGGATTAGGCACTACTCCTACACACACATTTTTTTGTATCTCTGATAAGTACTTTTAATTTGCATAAAAATAAGTGTTATGGGGGGGGGTGGCTGTTACTAGGCTGAATATTCAGCTCCCTGTGATAAATTTGAAGCTAGGAGGTTTTTCAGATTGCTTTCACAGTTTGCTTCAATTTGATTTCAAATTTCTGTATTGGAAAAAGGGTGAAAGGTAGTATAGTATATTGGAATGAGTATTGATGGAAAAATCGTATTGAACTGGTTTTGTCATGGTTCTACCAGGAATGATATTGAGGAAGATGCTTCCCTCCTCCAAATATATTTCCCCTTTAGGAGCTGAACTAAATGAACCCCTTCCAGCTTTAATATTCCACGTTTTATTCACCTATCCTTAGCTATAATTAATATTTCCAAAAAGATTGTCAAATGGCCTAAAATATTGTATATTTTGTATCAACTTCTTCCTACGTCTTTACCTCAAGCAGGATATTTTATGTATCTCTTAGATGGAATACCTGTGAATTCAAAATTACCTATGTTAAATATCGTTAGTATTTTCAAAGGGCATCAAAGGTAAGAGTGCCTGAAAAGTGTTTTTATCTAGAAGTGCCATTAATAAGCAAGTGTTCTGGTATACAAGTAAGTGTTAATTTAAGCTACCCAAAGCTATGGTACCCAAAAAGCCTGATAGAGTTTATAAGTAGATTTGCCTTTAGTTGCAAAAACACAACTCTGTTTAAATATGATTTTTTTCCCTAAAACATGAATAGGTTTTTGTTTTTTTTTCAGAATGTAAAAATATGTAGGGATACAAAATTCACTCAGGAAAGGTTCTTAGGGCCATAAACACAAAATCTCTCAGCACTGTGGTCCTTGAGTCCTAGTATATTCACCCTACCTGAAAATAGGCAAAGAGATGGAGCTATGCTGAGAATGCCTGGCAGGGCATTAGGGACTATTAGACAAGTAGCAGCAAGTGTGCTTTTCCCTCACCAAGAATGTCTGCCAGGGCAAGCTCAGCCTTCCCTAAAGCCAAAAGAAGCCATGTGCATCATAAGCAATTCCACCCCCACCCACCTAACAGTTTCCATTTTAATAGCCTTTGGATATGTTCATTACAGGTATAAAAGGACTATAAATTTTTAATTGATTCATAATCTGTCAGAGATGGAAGAGACATCCAACCCATCTCTGTTGTTTTTTTTTTTAATAGGTGGGGAAACTGGGTCTTTACTGTCTGTTTTGGTTTAGGTAAATATAAGTATAGTAATATAAAAAGGAGTTTCTTTCCCTGCTGTTAGATTTTCTCTTGAAAAATAAACAGTTGGGGCAACTAGATGGCGCAGAGCACCTGCCTGGAGTCAGGAGGACCTGAGTTCACATCTGCCCTCAGACAGTTATTAGCTATGTGACTCTGGGCAAGTCACTTAACCCCAATTGCCTGAAAAAGAAAAAATTAAACAATTTTCCTTGAAGTAAAGACATTTTCTTATGTTACTACTTTCAGAAGAATTTCTGAAGATCCAAAATCATCAGAGTGATACTTGCACCAACTTCTTTAAGAAATTCTCCTTCAGTTGAATTCAGAACAGCAATGGACTTCTTTCCTCCCAGCTGTAATGATCAAGGAAGGTCCAGTGAAGAAGCATTTTGGAAAGACAATGTGTGTACTGGCTTATTGCAAAAAAGAACAGATGCTGCTGGTGGCTTTGTTTATTAACATGCAACTTTACAACAGAGAAACTCATTTGATGACTTATTTTTTAGAAAATGACCTTGAAAGCTTTTAAGTTATACACTGGAGTCATGGCTGTTACCTGCTCGAACAACCAATATGGATGTTTTCCTTTGTGGTAATCAGTTTTGTTCAAATGCCTTTGAAAAGAGCAAAATCATAGCTGTTTTTTCCTGAAGTGTCAAGGGAAATGAAGGATATATGTGCTTACAGTAATTTTAAGAGCTCTAACGTACCTGTTATTAAAAGTGCATATAACATAATTAATTTATTCTGCTTTAAGAAATTTGTTTTAAAATATTTCTATAATAACCACTTTTCCATGAAGAGTGCTTTCAAGAAACTTAAGAGATTTACAGCATTCAACCGTGTGAAGAAGAAGGATGATAATCTTTCCATCTTCTTTCCCTTCCTCTTTACCATTGTTAAAAAACAACAAACTGGTATGAAAACATCTGACTTGGAATTTAAATTTTTACTCCTAGGTGACCCAGAAAGATTTCCCCAAGGATAAAAATGTAGCCACATTCCTGATATTGAAATGAAGTACTTTTTTGGGCTGCTTTTGCTAGACCTGCAATTATTTTTAAAAATACAATGTACAATTATGCATTTTCCCCTATGTTTTAAATGGGAATCTCAAGTATAATAATGGTTTGATTTCTAAATCCAGATTTTCTTCATATTTGAAATTCTGCTCACATCGTTTATTTTATTTATTTATTTTTAATAATAATGCCTTAAGTTTATAACTTTTTAGAGCATTGTTATTACTGTTACTATTTTTCATCCACACAGATTGAGATAAGGTATAGCAGGTATTTATTGTCTCTATTTTACAGATAAGAATATTAAGGGCATGCATCGTTTTATGGCTGGAAGGGATCTCAGTCATCAAATGCTACCCCCTTGTTTTAAAGATGAGAAAACTGAGGCCCAGAATAGTTATTGCCCAGCCTCTCATATGTGGTAAAGCAGTGGTGTTGGCATTGGAATCCAGGTCTTCTGACAGAGAAAACTGATACACTTTCTGCTATAACACACTGACTGCCTAGTGAATGCTTCAGAATATATAATTTAATCAATATGGATACTTCCTGCCAATTTATAACACTTCCACATCTTAGTCTTTATTAAAAGAGTCTCATAAGGTGTTATGGCCATAAAACTTTAATTAACTAGTAGCCAGCTTCCGGGTGATGATGAGCCTCTCTGAATTTAGTTGAGCTTGTCTTTGGTTGGCTAAAACCTTCCAGGGCTTGTACTCCATTTGCATATCTTTTGAGAGTCAGGGTCATCTCCTTACCACAGTGGAGTATAGGAAGAGGATTTCAGAAAACGGACATTTTTATAATATTTTCAGTTGGTTTAAAAAGCCTATGGCGTTTTTGTTTTTCTTCCTTCATGATTTACTCAGTTGGTATCAGCATTAAACCAGATTTTAATAGATGGCCATTCTGTAGTTTCTTCCACAAAACACTAGATCCTTTAAATTTAATTCTCCATCTAGATAATACTCAGTTGAGTGCAAAAATTACAAAAGGTGATCCTACTCTAGTACATCAGTCATGAGGGGTTTGTTTAGACTTCAGGTAAGTTATCAAATAAATGACAGACAAAATAAAAATTGTTCAAAGAAATATTCCATTTGCTGTCTTGAAAGTTGCACAAAACTAGGCTATAGAAAATTTGTTACATTAAGGACTTGTCTAGAGGTCCCCAACTGTAGAATAGCAGGCTGATCTTTCTGACTGCAGTCCCATTTTCTATTTATGCCTCTTCTATTTACAGCCTGTGTGACCTAAGGCAAGTAACATTACCTCTGTGGACCTCCGTTTTTACCTGTAAAGTGAAGTAATCTAATTAATTAGATGATTCCCTAGTTCTCAATTCAATGATTCTTTGCTTTTCAGTTGGTACTATTCTCACCTTAATATGTTGTCCAAAATACGTGTCTCCAATATTCTTATATCAAGGAAAAGAAAACAGGTTTAAAAGTATCGTGAATTTCCTTGTAAAATTTTTAAAAATAAAAATGATGGCATGTTTGGTACTGATAAATCAGAACTCACCAAGAAGCAGTTAAACATGCCTTTATGCTACTGCAGAAAAGAAATTGTTAAATTTTTTAAAATAGCCTGAAGTTACCAATGTGCTCTTTTTCTGAGGTCTATGAATTGGAACTTTTCAGATGTTTACTTGGTACATATAACATACTATGCCAAATGCAGCTCTTGTATTTTTACTTTGAATGTGTGTGTGTGTGTGTTGTGTGTGTAGACAGGGTGCGTGTACGTGTGTATATGTATATACATGCACATACACACACACACACACACACACACACACACACACACACACACACATATCTCTACACTAATGATATGATATAAGAGTAAATTTAAGGGATCTGCCCAAGGTCTTTTCAGTGTCTATCCACCTTTCACCCTTCAGTCTTCATTTACTGAGCTCCAACCTGAGTGCATGGCCTTAGCTCTGCTCTTAGCCTCTAGGCTAAGGAAGATACAAAGATGAATAAGGAAGTAACTGCCCTCAAGGAGTTTCTAATCTTAAAGTGGCCTTTGTTCAAGACAAAATTTTTAATTCTACATAAATAGGGTTCAAATACAAATATTTTGTTCAGTGACTACAGATGATTCTATAATGGTAATTAACACACACGTACATCTATAGAACTACTAGACGGCATACAAAACATTCTTTATTACCACTCTTAAGAATTACTTAATTTCATAACAAGTTGTAAATTGAATAAGAAACACAGATGGCAATAGCTGTCCCCACAACATTGGTTATATTAATTGAGCATTTATTAAGAAGCAGCCTGGCACAGTAAGTAAAAAGCAAGCTTTGAAGCCTGGAAGACCTGGGCTCATGTTCTACCTTTGGCATTATACCTGTAAGGACCCTGAGCAAATCACTTAACCTTAGTGTTCTTCACAACTTGATGAGACCATAAATTACAATGAACATATCAGCCTGACTTGATAGAGGTAGTTTCCTTACCTGGAAGATCTCTATACCAGTGAGATCACAGAACCAGTCCCTAATCCTTTTATTGAGTTCTTGCCACATATCTGTAGGCCACTGTACTGAGTGTTGGGCTAGATTCAGAAATGAAAAAACACAGTTCCTACCCTGAAGGAGCTTTGAATCTGGCTAGGGTAAAAGTGTGTACACAAGGAAGTGTAATGTAAGTTCTAACAAGATAAACAGATAGGAAAGTTCTAACAAGATGAGAGATTGGGGAAGAAGATGATGTATAACCTTTGTGTTCACCCCCATATTAAGTAAATGTGGCCCATCTTCTAATATTCAATTGCTATATTATACATTATATAACTATAGTTACTATTTTCACAAGACCTTTATTTGCTTCTATTAAAAATCCCTAAATCATCTTATAGGAGAGTTGAATAATTGTGAGGCATCATTAATCATAGATGGAGTTCCCATCCCAGTTCTTTCATTTGCTTTGCAAGCTTAGGCAAAATTACTTAAACTCTGAGCCTCAAATCCCTCATCTACAAATTAAGGATAGTCCTATCCTGTCTTACAGGATTTTCATGAGGCTCAAATGAAAGACTCTTTGTAAAAGCACTTTATAAGTTGTAAAGCACTGTACAGATATAAGGTAGAATTAGTATTATTTATTATTACTGCTATTATTATTGCTGTGGTTTCACTCACATGGTCATTGTTTCTTGACTATCCAGAAGTACCCAAAATATGTTACCAAGTACCTGTATTCACTGTTATTACCTTTAAAATAATTCCACCTTTCTTACACCAAGCTTCAGAATTACCCACCTAACACTAGCTGTATGACCCTGGGCAAGTCACTTAACCCTGATTGCCTCACCAAAAAGCAAAAAAACAAAACAGAATTACCTACCTGTAAGAAGCATGTTCAGTGCTTAGTTCTTAATATTAGATTGTTTCTTTTTTTCTTTTGGTGAGGCAGTTGGGATTAAGTGACTTGTCCAAAGTAACACAGCTAATGAGTGTTATGATTCTGAGTCCCAGAGTCTCACAGCTAATGAGTGTTATGTGTCTGAGGTGAGATTTGAACTCAGGTCCTCCTAACTCCAGGGCCAGTGCTCTATCCACTACACCATCTAGCTACCACCTTAATATTAGATTCTAACAAAGATGATTCAGATGGCCTTCCACCTCTGATTTTCTGGGCAGGTTACTTTCTCAAGCACCCAAAGTTCTGGCCAGTGCTTTTAAGTTTAGGTAACAGCTAATGAGGAGTAACATTTTAATTTTTTTTAACGTGTCATTATGTATTTAGGTTTAATAATGTTTTATCTTTTGAAGTTAATGATTTGAACATACATTCTATCTAAAACCACTAAGCATCTTCTTTGTTTAGTATACAAAGGTACCTCCCTGAATTCTCCTACAGTCAGACCACATTTGGAGTATTGTATTCAATTCTAGACATCACATTTTAGCTAAAGAGTACCCAGGAGACAGCAGTTAAGATAGTGAGGATGCTTAAAACCAAGCAACAAGGGATAACTAGGGTATTTACAATTTTAAAAAAAATCCTGAAGGGTTGCCGTTTAGAGGAAAGATGAGATGGTCTTTTTGGCCTCAGAGAGGAGAATTAAGACCAATAAGAGGAATCTCTAAGGAGGCAACTTCTTAACCATTAGAACTGCCCAAACATGAAATGGGCTGCCTTATTTAATAGTAGGTTTCCTGTCACTGTAGGTTTTCATGAGAAAGCTGGATGGCATCCTCTTTGGAGCACATTGTCCATTATGACCTCTGAGGCCCCTTCCAACTATTAAGATACCTACTTCCTAGCACATACTAAGCACTTAATAAATGTTTTCTTTACCTAAGTTATTCAAAATAATCAAAACTATTTTAAGCCAAAATACTTCATCTACTTCCTAATGCCTTGTATCTATCTGAAGTAAGTCTTTATCAGGCTTTTGTGAGATATCTACAATGGAAATGTGATTTAGTGAATCCATTACTGTGATATTATGAAATCCTGTAATAAATTTCATAGGTTTTCCTGGTAACAGTAGTTTAAGTTCAGACTTTCATATTGGTTGTTAGATCCTTAAGCTGTTATGAAGAACAATTCCTTTATTATATGCAAGGTATTTCATTGAACTGTGGGATTTTTCAGTAATAATAGTCCTAGCATTGTGATAACTTATCATATCCTTTTTTATACACATTAGTTATCTCATTTGTTCCTCATAACAAGTAAGGCAAGCAGC